ACAGGCAGTCCTTAACTTACAGTTGCAAGTTTAAAAGTTAAGGACAATATGTCCTTAACTTTAACTTAGACTTACAAGTTCAAAAGTTAAGGACACTTGGTCCTGAAGTTTGAGTTCCAAGTTCAAAAGTTAAGGACAGGCAGTCCTTAACTTACAGTTGCAAGTTTAAAAGTTAAGGACAATATGTCCTTAACTTTAACTTAGACTTACAAGTTCAAAAGTTAAGGACACTTTGTCCTGAACTTAGACTAACAAGTACAAAAGTTAAGGACGGGCAGTCCTTAATTTACAGTTACAAGATCAAAAGTTAAGGACAATAGGTCCTTAACTTTGACTTACCAGTTCAAAAGTTAAGGATACTTGTTCCTCAACTTTGACTTACAAGTACAAAAGTTAAGGACACTTGGTACTGAAGTTTGAGTTCGAAGTTCAAAAGTTAAGGACACTTGGTACTGAAGTTTGAGTTCGAAGTTCAAAAGTTAAGGACACTTGGTCCTAAACTAAGTTACAAGTTCAAAAGTTAAGGACATGTAGTCCTGAACTTAGAGTTACAAGTTCAAAGGTTAAGGACATGAGCAGAAGAGTATTTTCTTCCGGACAGTTAAAGTTTATTAAAGCAGTGGCTAAAGACTAAAGACATTTTAAACATTGACTTAAAAATAAATACATATGTTATTAGTGGCTAACCGTGCACTTCCCCTGTGTTAGACTCATCATTTTAAGGTCCATCTAAACGCGGGCTGCTTTGCTCAGACCCAACAAATTTTAAGACCCGCACGGATTGGACCGGACGGGGCCTTATTGAAAGCCATATATAATATTTAATTTAACGAAAAAGGGAAAAGTTCACGAACAAATATCGTTTTACAATTTGAAATAATAATGAGACAACCAATAGGATAAGAAATATATGCTACTGTCTCGGCACGGTAGGCAAGTTGGACTCTCTAGCAAAAAAAAAAAAACGAAAAAAAAGGGAGTTTTAGAGCTTTACCCATAAAAATCAAACTAATTACCCTTGCCTACCTATTTACTTTTATACCTATCAAACTAATTATCATTCCTACTCATTGTAGCTTTTATGGGTAATTGACTCTTTTTTTCTCCATTTCTTTTTTCCTCTTTTTCGTTATTTTTGCTCTTTCTCCCTTTCTGTTATGTTTTTTTCAATCATATTATTTTTTATTTTCTTTCTTTATCATAATTTGATTCCATACCAAATTTTGGCTCCTTTATTTTTATTTTATTTCTTTCCTTTTGTTCATTTTTCTTTATTTCTTTATTTCTTTTCAAATTTCATTTAACTCTTTTTTTCCCTACATAATCTAATCACATTCTTCTTTATTTTATATAGCAATAAAATATAACTAATATAGTAAACATTCATTCACAAAAGAGCTCAGTCCTCTATGATACCAAACTGATATACAAGTATACCATTTTGGTGTATAATACAAATTCATCTACTTCACTACCTCAACATCATTTCAACCCATACTTCACCGCTCTAGTGCAAAATCTCCACCAAATTACCTTAAAAATTAGCCACAACCTCCATTCAACATTTCAAACTAAGTGTTTTTGTTTAAGAAAAAATTTAAAAAAAGGCGTGAAAACTCAATTGAAACATTGAAAAAGGTTCCAATGAAAAAGATACCAACCTGGTATATATCATATACTAACAGGGTATCATAGAGGACTGGTTCATTCATTTAATTAAAAAAAAATACTCATCATTCCTGTATGATACACATATAGTATATATTATTACTGACATGATATAGGTATGGTTCATTCCTTAAAAAAAGAGCTCAGTCCTCTATGATACCAAACTGGTATACATGTATACTAATTTGGTATATAGTATAAATTCATCTTTTTCGCAAGTTCAACTCAATTTCAATCCAATATTCACAACTCTAGTGCAAAAAAAAAAACAAATTGGCTCAACTTTAGCCATGACCTCCATTCAACATTTAAATGTAAATATTTTTGTTTAATAAAAATTTAAAAAAGGCATGAAAACTCCATTAAACATTTAAAAAGATTCCAATTAAAAAATTCAATAAAATTAAAAAGGACCAAATTATAACAGTATACTATTACACTATACTGTATATTATAAGATATATTGTTGGAATAAATTGTATGAATTAAAAATTATATACTAAAGTGGTATACATGTATACCATTTTGTTATATAGTATAAATCTATCTTCTTCGCTAGTTCAACTTAATTTCAATCCAAATTTCACAACTCTACTGCAAAATCTCCACCAAATTGGTTCAAGCTTTTGCTACAACTTCTAATTAACATTTCAAACAAACCCCAAACAGAATCAGATCAAACAACTACAAACTCAACAAACCCATTATATGAGTTTTCATCTTCAAGGTCCTTCAATTATGTATTTGATTTTTTATAATAATAAATCTCCAAAAATCTCCAGTATGAACTTTCTAAATATACTATAAATAACTTTTTAAAATATCTACTTTGAATCAAACAATGAATCTTAATGTTGAAATTTCAATTCAAAAGCTTCAAGCTCAAGAATGGCGGGTCTTTAAAAATTTAATCCCAAGCACCTCAAATCAGCTCCAAATAAAATCAAAATTCAGTACGATTAATATCCTTTCTTTTACTATAGCATAGTATCTTACTTAAAAACCACATTCGGGCTACAAGTATAAATGCTTAAGCTCAGACCATTCCCTGTAAGAATCCACAAAAAGAAAATATTCTCATTATATATTTTAGGAAAGTAGTGATTTCTACATATTTTTCTATAGATAGTTGTACTAAATAATGAGTTAAGCACATAAGTGAGAAATGGGGGAAGATGGTCATAGCAACAATGATGTCGTGATTTGTGAATGCAACGCCTTGGCAGAAGATAAGTGAAGGGCCGGGTAATTATTTTTAACCGTATGGGTAGTCTTTGTAATTAGTTTGAGGGTAGATAATTAGTTTATGTTTTATGGATACTTTGTGTAGATTCCCCAAAAAAAAACTCAAACAAACAACTTTACAAAATCAGCCAAAAAATTAAAGACATAAGGTAAGGATAAACAGAACTAATTGGAAGAAAATAGTGACTACTTGGGCCATAACAATAAAAAATATCGCATTCTAATTCAACATTAACATGGTATTCTTTATTTCTGCATTTGAGAAGAAAATTTTACATCAAAATTAGTACGTAACAAAAGAGCACATTCCTACCTTTGCCTCTTAACCTCGTGGTCCTTAATCTTATGTATAACGGGAACTCATTTTTCAACCGAAATGGCACGATCTTTCCTAGCATGATTTTTTCAAATTTGACTCTACGGCGGCAAAAAGAAGAGAATATTTAGTTCTTAATAATAACCATATAGCTAACAACAATATAGAAAAGAATAAGATCATTACTCACCTTTCTCATTACATGTCATAGCTGTTCGATTCTTTAGTGAAAAATATAAAATTACAAACTGAGAAATGTACCAAGTTCCATTCATATGGACATCTCCCCTCATCTCCATCATAGTGAAATGCATTATTCTTTTTCTAGTAGGCATCTGCACACTCCCACCCCACATATCAAATGTTCTCGCAGTATGGTTAGTCTACTATTGATGACATAATTACCACGAGATATAATTATATATTCGCACAATTCTTTTGAACAACTAAATAGAGCCAAATGTATGGGAACCATCAATAAGTCATAATTGGAGTACAGTGCAAATAAAGCGTAAGAGAAATTGAAAGCTACATGCAACAACCCTAATCTTATCCTCCCGTGATGAATCTTTTATAGTTTGCAAAAAGTTCCTTAACTTATTACAAACTCATTCAAGACAATTTTGATGATGTCCAATTAAAATAGGTGGCTATTCGGACATTTCAATCAACAACCTCTGCCCTTGCATGGGTTACATGTTATGTTAATTAAGATAGATATCTCGTAAATGACAACCTAAACCCCAATAGCCGAACCCATAGCCCAAGCAACAATCTTTTTCCTTATACTCCTCTATAAGTTGTCGTGCTTAAACTGGCATGCTATAGTCACATAGATTTCCATAACTAAATAAGTATAGACATACCATATTAGAATTAAAATTAAAACTAGGAAGACCATTCAATAAAGTCTTGGAACTCATATGTTGGTTGTTGCTGTCTCAACTCAGAACCAATGCCAATTATCATTATGTTCATTGAACTCACGGTCTTTTGCATTTTCTCAATCAGTTTGAGTGTCCAAGATGCGATAGCAAGAGTAAAGGTATGATTGAGGAATCATTCGATCATGATAATATATACCGGCATAATAGAACTATTGTCTCTACAATATATGAACCCCATCAATGTCTCAAGCACTCAACATAGTTGAATGTCTTGTTTGCATTCAGTAGTTACAACCCAAGATTTCTCCAATTGATCATCGAAAACATTATCCCATAGTCTACAACCAAATAAACAATGGTTACAACTATGATTGTAGGAAGAAACCAAAGAGAATGATGCTTGGGATCGAAGGTCAAATCTAAGATCAACTCTTCGTTGTTCAAAACATCCGATAAATATTTCTATTTCTTCTACAAAAACATAATTAAAATTTACTTTCGGTATATATTGTGTTTCATTTTCTATTTTTCACGTTTAAATCCTTGCGGAAATTATCTGAAGCAGCAATACAAAATTTTGAATTAGGTCTTCAAACTTTTTGAATTGGGTTCTTTCATTCTAACTTTCTAGTATCTTTTTATCTTATATTTGTTATTTTTGTTATTTTTACTTCATAAGTATATTTTTTAAATATTATTAGAATTTAAATATGTGAAAATATAAAACTTATTATCAAAAAAAAAGAGTTAAAATTTTAATACAATCTAAAAAAGGAGCTCTTGATAAATTTGTCACGACCCAAAATTTACAAGTTGTGATAGCACCTAACTCGACCCATTAGGTCAGCCAAATAACAGTTAACACAACCGTAATAAAATAAATGTGATCAACAATCGATATAATTGAATTTCCATACAAAATCTCAAGGACAAGTAGTACAAGACATGAGCTACTAAGACTAGATTGTTGCAAAAATGGATATGAAATAAATACAACTTCTGTTTGAAATGTACTTAAATAGAATTCATCTGTAGGACTACCCCGAGACAAGTGGTAGACATATCCGGAAGGCACGAGCATCTTTAGAGTCAGCTCCTGTCATCACCCGCAGCTCCGCTACAAAATCCGCACACAAGGTACAGAAGTATAGCATGAGTACAATTGACCTCATGTACTCAGTATATATCTTGATTAACCTCGGTGAAGTAGTGACGAGGCTTTCTATGTAGCAACCCCTTTGAGAGGGTACTACTTAAGAAACAAATCTAATTCCCTACTTACAAAATATTAATAAAAATATCTAAAATAATTTAGTAGCGGAAATAGGCCTATGCAAAAAGGTTCAAAGTGCAATATATTTTTTTTAACATACACCAAAATTTTATTTTAAATAAAATACAATGTCAAAATATTATCATAGGGTGATATAACCCTTCTTGCACAATCAAGAGATTAAAGCAACTTTCTAACAAATTTATGCACTCATTCAAAATCACTGCAAGTTTGTATTATACAAAAATTTCAAACTATCGGGTATATAAAAAAAGGAACTAGTTTTCTTCTTTTCTACATATTTACAAGACAAAGTGTAAAATCTGCATATGTACGTCATGCCATCACACTAAGCATAATCAAATATCAAGATGGACCGAAACCCCAAATCAAGTAGGGTCAAAACCCAATAGATAAGAGAATCAAGAACCATATTAAAAATGGCTTCCTAGTTAGTACTTAACACGGACAAGTTCCATAATTCAAGACGAACTACAAATCCAAAGTCAAGATGGCAAAAGATCCGAATCAAGAGGCATGCCAAGATGAGTGACTAAGTCACTGCCACAAGAAGGACAAAGTCCCAACAAGAATGCAAAATGATCAAACAATCCGTACGAATGGGCGATTTAGCAAATTTCTTACAAGACTTAATATAATACGAATATAACAATATAAATTGAAGACAAGAAAAATAAAATATCAGGTTATTTCAACATATTTTCAGCAAGCAAAAAGAGTACAAGTTTATACACAAACCTTGGTATTTTACCACAAAACAGTTCAATCACAACTTGGGGACGTTCGAATCGTCTACGCCGTAAACAAACCAAATCTGTCCACCTCCTCAAACACTTCCCCTTTGATTTTTTTTCAAGGATTTATATACCTTAAATACATAATCAAATATCTAAATAAGTTCAATGATTTAACAAGTCAAACTAAATATGATATTGGTAAAAATTACTCAAAAACGTTTGAAACAGAAATTCTGGACAATATCACTGTTCCGAGTTGTGACTCGGTTTTGAAGATCTATACGGACAAACTAGACTTTATGGTCTTCACTAAAGTTGTATATCTATGTCTTATCGTTTTATAACATCTTGAATCACCTCCATATCAATTTTGAACAAAATGTTATGCTAAAATTACTAACAGCAGTACATGGAGTATTTCTTAAACTGGAAATCTGGACAGCACCTGCCCTGTACTTTCTGACTCTTTTTCAGGTTCATAACAGTAAAACTAGATTTTGATTCCTTCATAAAAAATATAGATTTATGAAATACCTTTCCAGAAAGTCCTAGATCCCTTAAATCGGAGCTCTGTACAAAAAGATATATATACAATACTAGTAGATGTCTAGTATAAAAATGGGTTTAGAAACTTACCAAGAGGAGCAACTTGATCTTCACCAAAAACGAATTTTGCTTGTTGATTAGGTAGAAATCCGTGGGATTTTTTTTTTTTTAATGAAACTTCAGAATCTTGTTTCTACATAGGACAGAGATAGAGAGAGATAGAGATAGAGATAGAGAGATAGAGTAGAAAGATAGAGTAGAAAGAGAGATAGAAAGAGAGATAGAAAGATAGCTATTCTTCTTTGTTTCTGAAGAGTAGAAGAATGGGGAGTTTATGGATAGATATGAAATAAAATGGTTCCTCAACTACTAAATATTCTTAGATAAATACAAAAGGTTGGAACCCAAAACTTAATTATATACTATATTTAATAACAACTCGTCAAAATAATATTAAGTGTTACATATAGCAACACCATGGAACTTCCTTGCTAATATTAACACAACCTAAAGTAAGAAATTTTCATATACTGACCATTTCACATTTAGGAAATGCAAAGTAAAATATTTTCTCGTTATAAAAAAAATGCTCAATCAAGAATGCAAATATTATAAAAATTTTGGGGTGTTACAACTCTCTCTCCCTTAAAAAAAATTTCGTCTCTAAATTTACCTTGTACTAGTCCCGAAACAAATGTGGATATTAAACTCGCATATCCTCTTCTCACTCCCATGTAGCTTCTTCGCCTGAATGATTTCTCCAAAGAACCTTCACTAATGGGATTCTCTTATTTCTAAGCTCTTTTATCTCACGCGCTAAGATTTGGATTGGTTCTTCTTCGTATGTCAAATCAGGATTAACCTCAATAGATTCAATAGGAAGAACATGAGATGGATCTGAGCGGTATTTTCGAAGCATAGAAACATGAAAGACGTTGTGGATCTTACCTAATTCAGGTGGCAAAGCTAGCTTATATGCAACCAGACCAATTCTTTCAAGTATTTCATAAGGTCCAATAAATCGAGGACTAAGTTTACCTTTTTGGCCAAATCTTATAATCTTCTTCCATGGAGAAACCTTTAAAAATACCTTATCGCCTACCTGATGCTCAATTTTACGCCTTTTAAGATCAGCATAGGACTTTTGTCTGTCTGAAGAAATTTTCAAACGATCCTTGATGATTTTTACCTTATCTTCAGTTTGTTGCACAATCTCAGGACCCACAAATTTTCTTTCACCAACCTCATTCCAACAAAGAGGCGTTCTACATTTTCTCCCATATAAAGCTTCATAAGGAGGCATGCCTATACTTAATTGGTAGCTATTATTGTAAGCAAATTCTATTAGGGCTAAGTGTTTGTCCCAACTACCCTTAAACTCAATAATGCAGGCTCGAAGCATATCCTCCAAGATTTGTATTACCCTTTCAGACTGGCCGTTTGTTTGTGGATGGAAAGCGGTACTAAAATTCAACCTGGAACCCAAAGCTTCTTGCAGACTAGACCAAAATCTGGATGTAAACCTCGGATCTCTATCAGACACAATAGAAACAGGGATTCCATGCAGCTTCACAATCTCATTAATGTACAATTCTGCTAAACGTTCCAGTGAGTAGTCCATTCTGATTGCCAAGAAATGAGCACTCTTAGTTAGTCTATCTACAATGACCCAAATTGCATCATGATTTCTTTGAGTACGTGGAAGTCCAGAAACAATGTCCATCGTTATCCTTTCCCATTTCCATTCAGGTATTGACAAAGGTTGTAGTAGACCAGCTGAGACTTGATGTTCGACTTTTATTTGTTGACATACCAAGCATTTAGAAATGAACTCTGCAATGTCTTTCTTCATACCACTCCACCAATAGTGTTCCTTAATGGTCCGATACATTTTAGTACCTCCAGGATGCATTGCATAAGGTGAACTATGTGCTTCAATCAAGATCTTCTTTCTCAACTCATCATCATTAAGAACACATAACCTATTTTTATAAAATAAGGTACCATCTTTCCTTAATGAAAAATCTGATTCTCTTCCATTTTGGACTTCATCAACCCGTTTCACAAGTTTCTCATCTAACTTCTGCGCTTCTTGGACTTGCTCAAGTAAGACTGGCTTGACATACAAATTAGCAATGATAGAACCATTAGAATCAAATGAAAGGCAAACATTCATGGCTCTTAATTCAAGAAGCAAAGGCAAATGACTTAGAGTTAAACTTGCAAGGGAATTGTGACTCAATGCATCTGCAACCACATTGGCTTTACCAGGATGATAATCAATCGTGCAATCATAATCTTTGATGAGTTTAAGCCATCTACGTTGTCTCAAGTTTAACTCTTTTTATTTACCCAAGTACTTCAAACTCTTGTGATCAGTAAATATGTGACACTTCTCTCTGTACAAGTAATGCCTCCAAATTTTTAAGGCAAAAACAATGGCAGCAAGTTCAAGATCGTGAGTGGGATAATTCAACTCATGTGATTTCAACTTTCGAGAGGCATAAGCAATTACTTTCCCTTCTTGCATCAAAACACAACCCAATCCACGATGAGATGCATCACTGTATACCACATAATCTTTTCCTTCAGCTGGCAAAGAAAGTGTTGGAGCTTGTGTCAACAAGGATTTGAGCTTTTCAAAGCTCTTTTGACACTTGTCATCCCATACAAACTTAGTATCTTTCCTCAAAAGTTTGGTTAAAGGATAAGCTATAATAGAGAAGCCCTTCACAAACCTTCTTTAGTATCCTGCTAAACCCAAGAAACTTCTTATCTCAGTTGGAGTTTTAGGGAGTTTCCAATCAACAATAGCTTGAATCTTACTAGGATCAACCTTCACAGCTTCAGATGATACAATGTGACCCAAAAACGCCACTTCATTCAGCCAAAATTCACATTTGGAAAGCTTCGCGTAGAGTTGCCTCTCTTTCAGAATTTGCATGACAATTCGGATATGCTTATCATGATCTTCTCTATTCTTGGAATAGACTAAAATGTCATAAATAAATACTACCACAAATTGATCGAGATAAGGCTTGAATACACGGTTCATTAGATCCATAAATGCAGCAGGAGCATTTGTCAAACCAAATGGCATTACCAAAAATTCATAATGGCCATACCTGGTCCTAAAAGCAGTTTTAGGAACATCTTGCTCCCTCACACGCAACTGATAATATCCAGACCTCAAGTCAATTTTTGAGAATAAGCTGGCACCCTTCAGTTGGTCAAACAAGTCATCGATTCTAGGCAGTGGGTATTTGTTCTTGATTGTTACCTTGTTCAGCTGTCGGTAATCAATGCAAAGCCTAAGAGTGCCATCTTTCTTTTTCACAAATAAAACTGGAGCTCCCTAAGGTGAAATACTGGGACGGATGAAACCTTTCTCAAGAAGTTCTTGCAATTGAGCCTTCAACTCTTTTAATTCAGCTGAAGCCATTCTATAAGGAGCGATAGAAATAGGGGTAGTTCCCGGGACAAGATCTATAGGAAATTCAATCTCCCTTTCTGGAGGTAACTCAGGAAGATCATCAGGAAATACATCAGGAAAGTCGCACACAGTTGGTATGTCCTTAAGACTTGGACTCCCCAATCGTGTATCGACTATATGAGCAAGATAGGCATCACAACCTTGACAAATCATCTTCCTTGCCAAGACCGCTGAAATAATATTAGATGTCAATGATCTTTCTCCTTGAACTACTATGTGTGAATGTGCAGGAGTTATAAATGTCATTTGCTTCAACCTACAATCAACCACTGCGTGGTGCCTATGGAGCCAATCCATGCCAACAATAACATCATAGTCTTGGAAGGGAATTTCAAGCAAGTCGGCAGGGAAGACCAGATTTTGAATCATGAATGGACAATCTCGGTAAATCCTATTAATAACAGCCTGATGACCTAATGGACTCGTGACCAGCACATCAAAGTCAAGTCTCCCAGATTTAACAGTATCAGTAAATGCAAGTGATGAGCAAACATAAGAGTGCGAAGATCCAGGATCGAATAGTGTAACAACAGATATGCCAAATAAGTGAAATTTACCAGCAACCACGTCTGGGCCATCCTGGTCATTCTTCTGTCTCATAGCGTAAACTCGTGCAGTAGCTCTTGACCTACCAGCCTGATTAGCTTCACTCGAACCCGCTGCTTGCATATTTCGAGGTCTAGCACTGCTATTAACTTGAGAATGAGTAGTGACAGGCTTTTGAACTGATCCCTCTGTATGTGAATACGAAAGAGGATTAGGATTAGGACAATCATTCACTTTATGATCCATACTTCCACAATTAAAGCAAGTACCGGAAGCTCGTCTACATGCACCATAATGATTCTTCCCGCACTGTGCACAAGTAGGGGTATGAGTTTTTCCTTGGCCATAACTTGGAGTACTAGCAGTAGAAAAATTTGACTTATTCTGCTTATGATGTAATGATTTATGTGTACTCTCAGTCTTGGAATAATCAAACTTTCCCTTTTTGGATGGACCGCCATAATCTGAATTACCCTTCCTAAACCTGTTTTCTCTCATACTAGCTTCTTCCTTGTCAATTCTTTTCCAAGTAAGAGCAGCTGAAATCATCTTGGAAAAATCATCAAGTTGTAAGATTTCCACTGATTTTCGAATGTAACCATTCAAACCTTCTTCAAATCTTCTGCACTTGTCTCTTTCCCTATCAATAATACCTTTAGCATAGCGAGAAAACCTGAGAAAGTTTTGTTGATACTCTGCAATAGACATACTCCCTTGTCTTAAATTCAAAAACTTTTTCTTTTTAGCATCACAATAGACAGGGAGAACATATTTTGCACGAAATAATTTCACAAAGTCATCTCAAGTCAGCACCGGAGGTTTTGCTTTTGCATTTGGCACACTTACCCACCAATCATAGGCGTCTTTTTGTAAAAGAGAGATAGCATACTTAAATTTGGCAGCATTAGTACACTCTAGTTGTTCAAATACCTTCTCCATGCGCTCGAGCCATTGTTCAGCTACCATGGGATCTGTAGTGCCTTCAAATTCAACTCAGCCCATTTTTCTCATCTTCTCAAAATTCATTTCACTAGGTTCTGACATTGTCCCAGCCAAGTGACGAAAGAACTCAGCCATCTGCTGGAATAGGAGTCATAAATGGAGTATTATGACTCATTGCTCTTGGATTACTGCCCACTTCATTTCCACTAACACGAGGATGATTTAGGTCAGGCAAGGGTTCCTCATTTGCTCCCTGAAGGTGAGGCATGACATT